GTGTGTGTGTGTGTGCGTGTGTGGGTGGGTGTAGGTGTGTAGGTGTGTGCGCGCGTGTGTGCGTGTGTCTGTACGTAAATATATACATATATACATACATATATACATATATATCATCTGACTCCACACAGCACTGACTTCGAAGACCCTGAGTGAGCGATATAATGCGCTGGTGCAGTTTCCGCGCCTGTTTGACCTGCTGCCCTTTACGCAAGCCAATCGCGAGTCCCTTCTGCTGCTGGCGGATCAGTTTAGAGACGGGTATGTACACGAAGTGAGTCTTATTTGCTATTGATGTAGGTGTGAATACTATGGCGTTAAGTGAGACGGGTATGTACAAGTAGCGAGTCTTAAGTGCTATTGATGTAGTGTGAATACTATGACGTTAAGTGAGACTGGTATGTACAAGTATTGAACCTTATTTGCTATTGATGTAGGTGTGAATATCATGGCGTTGCATGACTGACAGTTTGGGAGAAACCTGAGGTTGTACTGGGGGGAGGGTGGAGGTACAACGGACTGGTACTCGCCGGTGTAGCCCACAGCTGTAGACCTTGTTTACTTGCATATACATAGACGTAGAGAGACGGAAATACGGTCATGTACGGGACATATATGGGGTTTAATGTAAATAAAGGTATAACTACTCATATATGTGCATGCATGTATATACAAACGGGCGATGACAACTTGGACATTCGGAGGTGGGAATACGTATTCTAAGTCAGTGGCGATAGCTGCCTGTGCTGTGCATGCGGTTGTGGTGTGTTCATGATTGCTGATATCAATTTGGTTCTGGATTCTCTGTACCACTGTATGGTGCTGAAGCTCCGACGGACTGCCGGTCCTATAGGGCTCCCATTGGATTGCTGGCTCCTAGAACCTATACTTTTGGACTGGCTCAGTCCTATTCTTTGGACCAAATTTCTGAAGAATGTCTTCTGCCTTGAATTATCTCACTCACTTCCACTGTGCACTCACCGCTGCGCCTCGTTACCACCCAGATGGCCCCCATATCTCCTGACACTCTGAACCCTACAACCTCATTAAACCCCTTTGTGCTACTTACCATCCGCATGCCCTCATACCCACAGCACCAATCTCATGAAGCACCAGATAGTCCAAGTGTATCTCAACAGCCAGCCGCACCTCAGCTGCATTTCGGGTGCTGTAGACGCCCTACTGGACAAAGTGAGCCCTGTGCTGTATTCCACCGACCCTATCTCCCGAGCCCTGCTGCTCAGGCTATATGGTATGTGTTACTACGTGGCTTGTTGCTCAGGTTATATGGTATGTGCTACTACGTGGCTTGCTGCTCAGGTTATATGGTATGTGTTACTACGTGGCTTGTTGCTCAGGTTATATGGTATGTGCTACTACGTGGCTTGTTTCTCAGGTTATATGGTATGTGCTACTACGTGGCTTGTTGCTCAGGTTAGATGGTATGTGTTACTACGTGGCTTGTTGCTCAGGTTATATGGTATGTGCTACTACGTGGCTTGTTGCTCAGGTTATATTGTATGTGCTACTACGTGGCTTGTTGCTCAGGTTATATGGTATGTGCTACTAAGTGGCTTGTTGCTCAGATTATATGGTATGTGCTACTACGTGGCTTGTTGCTCAGGCTATATAGTGTGTGTTACTACGTGGCTCGTTGACCGCGGAGGGGGCTCATTCGTATGTTGAGATGGGGTCTGAAACTCTGTACTGTCAAATGTATACACATATACTGTCACATGCATACACATATGCTGTCACATGCAAACACATATAATGTCACATGCAAACACATATACTGTCACATGCATACACATATACTGTCACATGCATACACATATACCGTCACATGCATACACATACACATCAAACATCCTTCTGCATCCCCCCGTTACCGCCCATACTTCTTCCGTCTCCTCTGTGATGTGTCATCTGTGGTCTGTATGATCTCCAGTCTATTTCTATTGCCCTCTGCCCAATGAAATGCTCATTCACGTCCAGTGTGTTGTTTTGGCCCAGTCCATACGCAGTTGTCGTGGGCTCATTTGGTCCGTTCGCCTGACTTGTGTGTGCAGGTGCTATTGCAGTGATTGCGTCGGATAGCAAACAGATACACCGTAGTATCCTCCCCGGATTAGACTCGTCGGATAAGCTTGAAGTGCAGGTAAGTACTCCACAGGCGCTTCATAGTAGTATAACTGGGGCCTTCTATGTATGTACGCTCGCAAGTGTATGTGTGTACACGTATGGGATACATCAATGTTTATATAGTATGTATGTACACATATAGCATACGTTAAAGTTAATATATGCATCTGATTACGTGGCACAACTTAATGCACGTGCTTGTGAGGGCACGGCAAGTGCAATTGGTATGGCAACGGATCTGCCACGCCTGTCTGCATATGCGTACCTCTTCAGGCGCACTGAGTGTCTTTAACTGGTTTATCACAGCAACGAGAAACAAATGCGCCGGCATATGCGTATGAGTACGTATGCATACAGATTGGTGTATATCGGCACCAAGTGCTATTGATGCCACGCTTCAGTTCGCGAGACACTTTTCTTGATCCCCTGGATCAGCTGACACATATGCAACATCTTTTTAACATCTTTTTACCATTTTTTAACATCTTTTTATAGACTGCATATCTGCCACATGTACAACATCCTTTTACGCTAGACACATCTAACTAGTGACAGCACAAGGATAGTGCCAGCCCTGATGCGAACCGCTACTAGTTATCTGCGGTTGCTTACACATACACGCGCATTTATTGAACACTTTCGTTTGTTTCTAACTATGTCACTCCCAACTGTCCGTTTACCTGATACTATACTTCGGTTGAAAACTTTAAACCTCCTAAACCTTAAACCCCTTACACCTCAAAACTCGAAACACTACAGGCAGCCGTTTTTGCTGCCAATCGCATCGCATCGCGGTCGAAAACCTTCGCCGTTTCTTTGCTGGGCAAAGTATGTGTGCGCGTAGAAAGTACAAACAAGCATCATGTATATGCATATGATATATATATGACATACATATAT